TGGTATCTCAGAGTTGTTTTGAGTTGCATTTCTCTGATGGCCAAGGATTTTGAGCACTTTCTTAAGCGTCTTTCAGCTTCCTCTGTTGAGAATTCTCTATTTAGTTCTGTACCCCACTTATTAATTTCATTGTTTGGTGTTTTGGTGGCTAGCTTCTTGAGTTTATTGTATATTTTGGAAATCAGACTCTGTCAGATATGGGGTTGGTGAAGATCTTTTCCCATTCTGTGGGCTGTCATTTTGTTTTACTGACTGTGTCTGTTGCCTTGCAAAAGCTTCTCAGTTTCAGGAGGTCCCATTTATTAATTGCAGACCTCAACGTCTGTGCTACTGGTGTAATGTTCAGGAAGCGGTCCCCAGTGCCAATTTGTTCAAGGGTAATTCCCACTTTCTCTTCTAGAAGATTCAGTGTGGCTGGATTTATGGTAAGATCTTTGATCCATTTGCACTTAAGTTTTGTGCATGGTGCAAGGTATGGATCTATCTGCAATTTTCTGCATGTCCAAATCCAATTGTACCAGCACCATTTGTTGAAGATGCTATCTTTTTTCTATTGTATATATTTAGCACCTTTGTCAAAAATAAGGTATAGGTGCGTGGGTTAATATCAGGATCTTCAATTCAATTCCATTGGTCTATCTGTCTATTTTTGTGCCAATACCAAGCTGTTTTCAGGACTATGGCTCTCTAATAGAGCTTGAAGTCAGGGATGGTGATGCCTCCAGAAGATCCTTTATTGTACACAGTTGTTTTGGCTATACTGGGTTTTATGTTTTTCCATATAAAGTTGAATATAGTTCTTTCAAGGTCTGTGAACAACTGTGTTGGGATTTTAATGGGGATTGTGTTGAATCTGCAGATTACTTTTGGCAAGATTGCCATTTTTACTATGTTGATTCTACCTATCCAAGAACATGGGAGATCGTTCCATTTTCTGGTAACTTCTTTAATTTCTTTTTTAAGGACTCAAAATTCTTACTGTACAGGTCTTTCACTTTTTTTGGTTAGTGTTATCCCAAGATATTTTATGTTGCTTGTGGATATTGTGAAGGGTAACATTTCTCTGATTTCTTTCTCATTGCATTTATCATCTGTATATAACAGGGCTACTGAGTTTTTGAGTTAATCTTGTATCCTGCTACTTTGCTGAAGGTGTTTATCATCTGTAGAAGTTCCCTGGTAGAGTTTTTTGGGTCACTTATGTAGACTATCATATCATCTGCAAATAGTGAAAGTTTGTCTTCTTCCTTTCCAATTTGTATCCCTTTGATCTTCTTTTCTTGTCTTAATGCTCTAGCTAGAACTTCAAGTACAATTTTGAAGAGATGTGGAGAGAGTGAACAGCCTTGTCTTGTTCCTGATTTTAGAGGAAACGCTTTGAGTTTCTCTCCATTTAGTTTGATGTTGGCTGTTGGTTTGCTGTATATTGCTTTTATCATGTTTAGATATGTTCCTATTATTCCTGTTCTCTCCAAGATCTTTATCATGAAGGGATGTTGGATTTTGTCAAAGGCTTTTTCAGCATTTAGTGAGATGATCATGTGGTTTTTCTTTTTCAGTTTGTTTATAAGGCGGATTATATTAATGGATTTTCGTATGTTGAACCATCCTTGCATCCCTGGGATGAAGCCTACTTGATCATGGTGGATGATTTTTCTGATGTGTTCTTGGATACAATTCGCCAATATTTTGTTGAGTATTTTTGCATCAATGTTCATGAGGGATATTGGTCTGTAGTTCTCTTTTTTAGTATCTTTGTGTGGCTTATGTATCAAAATGATTGTAGCCTCGTAAAAAGAGTTTGGTAATGTCCCTTCTGCTTCTATTTTGTGGAACAATTTGAGGAGTACTGGAATTAGCTCTTGTTTGAATTTCTGGTAGAATTCTGCAGTGAAGCCATCTGGCTCTGGGCTTTTTTTGGTTGGGGGACTTTTGATGACTGCTTCTATTTCATTAGGGGGTATAGGTCGATTTATACTGATTATCTGTTCTTGGTTTAATTTTGGTAAGTGATATCTATCCAGAAAATTGTCCATTTCCTTTAGATTTTCGAATTTTGTGGAGTACAGATTTCAAAGTATGACCTGATGATTCTCTGGATTTCCTCAGTGTTTGTTGTTATATCCCCCTTTTCATTTCTGATTTTGTTAATTGGAGTGCTCTCTCTCTCTCTGCCTTTTGGTTAGTTTGCATAGAAGTTTGTCTATCTTGTGGATCTTCTCAAAGAATCAACTCTTTGTTTCATTGATTCTTTGTAATGTTTTCCTAGTTTCTACTTTATTGATTTCAGCCATCAGTTTGATTATTTCCTACTCCTCCGTGGTGAGTTTGCTTCTTTTAGCTCTAAAGCTTTCAGTTGTTCTGTCAATTCTCACTATTCTCCAGTTTCTTCATGTAGGCACTTAGTGCTGTGAACTTTCCTCTTAGCACTGCTTTCAGAGTGTCCCATAAGTTTGGATGTGTTGTGTCTACATTTTCATTAAATTCTAGGAAGTCTTTAATTTCTTTTTTTATTTCTTCTTCAACCCAGGAATGGTGCAATTGGATGTTATTCAATTTCCACAAGTTTGTAGGTTTTCTGCAATTTGTACTGCTGTTGAATTCTAACTTTAAAGCTTGGTGATCTCATAAAATACATGGGGTTATTTCAATTCTTTTGTATCTATGGAGCTTTGCTTTGTTGCCAAGTATGTGGTCAATTTTAGAGAAGGTTCCATGTGGCGCTGAGAAGGTATATTCTTTTTGTTTGGTTGGTTTTTCTTGGCTTTCTTTAGATTCTTTAAGAGATTTGCTTATTTCTTGAATGTTTTGGTTTGTCTTTTCCTCCATTTCATGTAAATTTTTTTGCTTGTCTTTTCTTATATTTCTTTAATGGATTTTCTTGTTTCCTCTTTAAAGGTCTCTATCATCTTCCTAAGATAATTTTTGAGGTCCATCTCTTCTTCATCCTCTGTGTTGGGCTTTTCAGATCTTGCTGGTGTGGGGTCCCTAGATTCTGGTGGTGTCATATTGGTCTTTCTGTTGTTGAGTGTGTTCTTATTCTGTCTTCTTTCCATTTCTTCTTCCAGTGGGTACAGGTGGGGTCTCTCTACCTCCTCTTGTCATCCGGGGTTGTGTGTGGGCCAGGACTTCAATGTCTGTAGCTCTGAATGGTCTTGCCTCTCCTGGTAGTCTGCTCACTTGGTAGGGTTTGGGCCCGTGGCTTGGTAGGGGTCAGGCCGGCAGAGGAGGGGGAAGGAAGAATAGGTGTTTCCAGACTCAGGGAGCTCCTCCCTGTATGGGGGGATCCACTCTAAGCAGGTGCAGGCCCAGAGAGATCCCGGGTGAGTGGGATGTTGGGTAGGAGTAGGGCAGGAGCAGAGGGTACACTCACCTCAGTAGGGGTCAGGCTGGTGGCGGAGGGGGAAGGAAGAGTAAGGTGTTTCCAGACTCAGGGTATGCATCAGATTCTTAAATGTTACAAAATTCTATTTTACTTTTTCAGTAGAATTTAGATTTTTCTTTGAAGTCTTTTTTAGCATTCCCTGCTTATAGATTAGAACAAAACAAAAACAAACAAACAAAATGAACTCGGAAAGCCAACCTGAGCAAATTCGTTCACCATCTCCTTGGGAAAACACAGCCTGTGTGGGGTAAGGTGAATGGAGATGAAAAATTAATTGATGTCAAGATCCAAATTAAAGTTATCTGCCTGTCTCCTACCCACCATATGGTTAGTGGGTTTAACTACCACAGGCTTCTTTGGGGAAATATCTCCATTCCCTAACCCTAGAACATCTCTCTCTGATGGTCAACCAGTAATAATTGGACCAGTAATAATGGTCCCACACAATAACTGCATGGGACACATTGCTCACTACAGCTGCTGGCAGAGCTCTTAACTTTACCCAGAGAAACTTGGTCAAACCTCGCCTTTCAAATCACAGCAATTATCAGGACCCGCCTCTTTCTGCTTCTCAGGTCCTCATGCTTTGATTTGTCTTTGCAGGAGATGTCTTGGTATAGGAAGAACTTTGTCTTCTACTGCCCATTATTATTGGCAGATTCTTTTATACAGCAACTTAGCAAGCAGGTTCCTTAGAGCCATGGGCGTGTGTGTGTGTGTGTGTGTGTGTGTGTGTGTGTGTGTGTGTGTGTGTGTGCGTGAGAGAGAGAGAGAGAGAGAAAGAGAGAGAGAGCATGCACACACATTCATGTAAATGTGGAGGCCAGAGGTCAATGTTTGGTATTTTCAGCCATTACTCTACCTTAATTCTGAGACATAGTATCTCATTGAATGTGGAGAGTACTTGATCAGCTAGGCTGATTGACAAGTGAGCTTCCAGGGTTCCTCCCATCTCTTCCCTTGTCCCCAACACAGTTACACATGCCCATCACCAAATCCAGCTTTTACAGGAGTCCTGGGGATCAAGCTCAGGTCTTCAGCTTTGTTATGCAAGCACTTTACCAATGGATGGAGTCATCTCCGCCACTCCTCCTATAGTCCTTTAAAGCAAACCTGTGTCAAAGCAGAGTACGGAGGAAGAGAGCTGCACAATCTCATGTGCAAAGAGAACAAACCAGACCAAGAAGCAGAAGCTGGCCACAGCCTGGTCATCCCAGTCACTAACTCTGAAGGAACATCATTTTCATTAACCTTTGTGACACTTAGGAGGTTCTGCTTGTTTGAAATTTACATGCTGAATTTGTGTACTATGTACTCTTCCCATTGAAAGCTCTAGTTCAGAATTATGCTTCTGAGATTCATTCATGCTCATTTTTATTGCTATATGCTGTGCCATTTTAAAACAGGGCAGAGATTATTTACCCAGCACACTTTTGATGGACATTTAGTTTCTTTCTAGTCTGGTGCCATCGTGAATTGTGTGCTATGAAGCACAATCTTGCATGTATGTGTGTGTACATGTGGTGTGTGTGTGTGTGTGTGTGTGTGTGTGTGTGTGTGTGTGTATTTGGTAAACAAATAAATGGACTTCTGTTACGTACAAAGCCAGAAGTGGAATTTCCCAATCAGCCTTAAAAGAAACTTCCAAATGGTCCTTGAAGATAGATATAACTCAATTTCACTCTCATACTTAGTTTTTCCATGGCCTCATCTGGGTACACAATAGCTATCATTATGGTTTCAATTTTCATTCCCTATTGTTAGATGAAGTTGAGGATCTTCCCAGAGATTTATAGCAATTTAGATATCCCCTTCATGAAATGCCTCCATGAAGGTATGTTTTCTATTGGGCTTCTTATATCTTTCTTTAAAAGCAAGAAACTCCACTTGCTTCTAGTGAACTATTCTTTGTGTATGTTACTCAATGTGATTTCTTGTTGGATTGAGGAGGGGTTGTTTCTAAATTTATGAAGGGAATTAGCTTTAATTTTCTGTTCCTATTGCTCTCTTGAAGGCTTTAATGGCAGGATTGTACAGGCTCACTGCAGCAGACCGAGCTGTGCCCCTCCTTCCTGTGCTAGAAGTTTATACCGTGTGGGGTTGGTATTATGTCCTTCTCAAATGTCTGAAATAACAATGGAGTCTTAAAGCTGTCTATATGAAAAGGTTTTAAACAATAAACTCAATTTTTTATTAAGTAAAAAGGTTCTTACTAACAAAATTAATTGTTATCTTGGCCCCTTCCATTCCAGAAATTATGGTTCTTAGTTGGGTTTCTCAGTTGTGATAAAACACCATGACTGCCGGGCGTTGGTGGTGCACGCCTTTAATCCCAGCACTCGGGAGGCAGAGGCAGGCGGATCTCTGTGAGTTCGAGGCCAGCCTGGTCTCCAGAGCAAGTGCCAGGATAAGTTCCAAAGCTACAAAGAGAAACCCTGTCTCGAAAAACCAAAAAAAAAAAAAAAAAATCACCTCGATTGTGTTGGTTTTAGTAGTAAGAATGGCCTCTATAGACTCATATACTTAAATGCCTTGTCACCTCTCTGAAAGGACTGGAAAGATTAGTGTGACCTTGTTGAAGGAAGTGTGTCATTAGGGGTGGGTTTGGGGTTTCAGAAGCCCAAACCAGACTCTCTCTCTCTCTCTCTCTCTCTCTCTCTCTCTCTCTCTCTCTCTCTCCCTCTCCCTCTCCCTCTCCCTCTCCCTCTCCCTCCCTCTCCATCCCCCCTCCTTTTTCTCTCTCTTTCTGCCTGTGAACCAGGGTGTATCTCTCAACTACTGCTCTAGTTCCATGCCCCACCCCATGATGATAATGAACTAAGCCTCTGAAACTGGAAGCAAGGTCCCAATTCAATGATTTCTTTCTTAAGCTTTGCGTTGGTCATGGTGTCTCTTGACAGCAGTAGACCAGTGGCTAAGACAATGACCAAAACTCAACCTAGGGAAGAAAGGGTTTATTTTACCTTATGGCTCATAGTCCATAATGCAGTGAATTCAGGGCAGGAACTCAAGGTCAGAACCTGGAGGCAAAAATTGAAACAGAGGTTCATGGAGGAACACTACTTACTGGCTTGCTCCTCTATAGCTTGCTCAGCCTGTTTTCTAATAGAACTCAACATTATGAACCCAGAAGGTTCTTTTTTGTTTTGTTTTGTGTTTCTGAGACAGGGTTTCTCTGTGTAGAGCAGCCTTGCTTCAAACTCACAGAGATTCACCTGCCTCTGCCTCCCTGAGTGCTGGGATTAAAGATTTGTGCCACCCAAGTCATACTCTTCCAAATCAATTATTAATCAACAAAATGTCCCAAAAGTTTGCTTACAGACTAATCTGATGGGGGCATTTTATAAATTGAGATTCTGTCTTCTCAGATAACTCCAGCTTGTGTCAAATTGGAAATAAATAAATGCAATAAACAAAAACAGAAGCAAACCAGCACAATGTTTCTTCTAAATTGTCAGATTCATTGGGTAAGTGGTCTATAATACCCTGGATTTGTATCTTAAATACAAACATGGTCTACAGTAGTATCGGCTTCTCATGAATAACATTTTATACATACACACACACACTGTCTTTTTCACAAATAGTCCTGTTAGGGGTTTCTTTATTATATTAACCTTTCAAAGAACAAAATTTAACTTTGTTGCTTTTGTTTACTTTTGAGTTTGTTTTCATCACTTATGCTGTCTTTACTGTTCTTTTCCCCTTCCTGATTGCTGTTGTTTTCCTGGTTTCTTGAAATGAAAGTCAAGATTATTTCTTTTACATAATATTTCTTACTGTGTGCATGTCTTTAAGTATTATAGGTGTATAGCACAGTCTTAGTGAGTTGTACCCTCTTCATCACTCCGTACACATTTCCTAACTTCTTTGCATGACTTCCCTTAGAAGTACACTAATTGTAAATGTCAGAGATTTTAACATTAACTCATTTAAAGCTCAGCTTTAATATTCAAAGAGCAGATTCTGAAGGACTGCATTGGTTGAAACTTGCTTTATAACCCAGCATTTGGGCAGTCTCAGAAAATGCTCCCTTTGTGCTTGAAAAAAAACTTAGAATTTTGACATCATGAAGCATTGTACTATAAATATAAATCAGCTCAAGTTGGGCAATTCTGCCATTCAGACCTTCTATAGCTTTAGTGATCGTTGCGTTCTCTCTCCCACCTGCTAATGATGAGTTGAAGTGCCCTCCGATGATTATGGATTTTTCTGTTCTGTCTTTTATTTCCAGTACTTTTTGCCTTATACATTTTGAAACTATATTATTGAGTGGCTATAAACCTAAAATTACGGTATCTTCCCAGAGCACTTACCCTTCTGAAGTATCTCTGAGTGCATCTGAACACTTCTTCAAGTCTCATTTGTTTGAAATATACCTTTCTTTTGACAAGTGTTCACATTGATTATCTTTTCCATCCTTTCAATTTGATGCCTCTGAATCCTCAATTTCTTTAGAGTTTTATTTCTAATGTAGTCTGAACTTCCCAATTTTAATGTTAATATGTATGGTTTTCATTGAAAGGGTTTGGGGGGGCATGTTGGTTTGTTTGTTTGTTTGTTTGTTTGTTTGTTTGGTTTGGCTTGGTTTTTTGTTTTGTTTTATGAGACAGGGTTTCTCTGTCTAACAGCTCTGGCTGACCTGGAACTCACTCTGTAGACCAAGCTAGCCTGGAACTCACAGAGATTTGCCTGTGTCTGTCTCTTGAATGCTGGGATTAAAGGTGTACCACCCTTACCCCACTCCACCCCTGCTGTCCAGCTTTAATGTCATTATTTTTAATTGGAACTCATTGTTTCCACTTTGTTTTTTCTTATTCACCCTATTTTATGCCTTTTTTCCATTCTTGTCTGGTTTTCAACTAGTCAAATTTCCATCTTCTTACTTCATTTTTCTCTGTGCAGCTGAAGTTCGGTGTTGTCCCAGAGATTCCAGCTTGCACTTTGACAATTTCTTTATGAGTTTCCTAACTTCAGGGGACTTTAGGTCACTTCATGTCCACATAGCCCTTGCTTCCTTTTTTGCACTACTCTCATTATGCATTTAATTTCTATTTTACTGTACACCCAATAGATAGCAATGCTGATGGGTTTTACGAACGAGATTTGGTGTGTCTGTAGTCACACAGGTGCCTCTTCCGATATTGTGCATTTGTTCATGTGTTTCTGGCTGTCTATCTGGATGAATTCTTCTTCTAAATGAGTACTATATTTAGGTTTTTTTGTTTGCTTGCTTTTCTTTTGGTTTTGAATTGTTTGTTTAATGAAAGTATACTACCAAAAATTTTGTTTGTTCTTAAAAAATATATCTTTATTGCAGATAATTCTTTTTATTTTTGAGATTCATTTTTATTTTGTCTCCATGAGTGTTTTACCTACATGTGTGTCTAGGCACCACATGCGTGCAGTGCCCATGGAGTCCGGAAGAAGACATCATATTCCCTGAAACTAGAGTTACAGATGTTGTGAGCTGCCATGTGGGTGCTGGAATTCAAACCCTGATGCTTTGGAAAAGCAACTGCTGAGCCATCTTCCCAGCCTTGATTTCACATTAGTCTTAGAGACTAATTTTGCTAAGCATAAAATTCTAGATTAGCTAGTATTTTGTTTTCTCTATCCCTTTAAAGATGTCATTCTGTTAGTTCCTAGCTTCCACTTCTGCAATAAGTTGGCCATAATTTACCTTGCAGTTTCTTTCAAGAAAATGAACCCATTTGGGCTACTTTAAATTTTTGTCTCATTTTCTTTGGTTTTCAACAACATTTCTTTGGTTATTGTTGTTTATTTGGTTGACTGTTTTTCAAGGGCCTCTCTATATAGCTCAGGCTGGTACTGAACTCATCCTGTTAGATCTGGCTGTTCATGAACTTGCAATCCTCCTGTCTCAGCGTCCCAGGTACTAAGATTACAATCATGAGCCATCACACTTGGCTGCAACAGTTTTTAATGTATGAAGGTATCATGGTTTAGATATAGAATGCTCCCCAATGTCTCACATGGTGAAGGCATAGTGCCGTAAGCAGGAAGGTTCAGAAGTAGGACTTTGGGAAGTTAAATGATTATTGATGGGTTCACAATATAATGGACTATTGGGAAATGATGGAAGCTTTGGGAGTCAGGGCCTAATTGAAGGACATAGGCCACTAGAGAAATGCCCTTGGAAAGTCCCCTGTTTTCTTTGTCCATTTGCTCATGTTCTGTCTCTGCTTCCTGATTCTACAAAGTGAGCAACACTCCTTGCTGAGCTGTTTCTCCTCACAGGCCCAGAAGCAATAGGCACAACTGACCACATACTCAAATATGAAGCTGTGGGCCAAATAACCCTTCCTCCTTTATTCTCAGGAATTTCATAACAGTGCCAGAGAGCTAACACAAGTTTGTTTGTTTGTTTTACCTGTTTGGGTTTGAGATATAAGTTAAATCTGTAGGCTTCTCAGCCTAGAGGACATTTTACTAATGCACTACATCTTCCATCATTGCTTGTAATCTTCCCTTATTTTTTATTGGATTAAGTTACCTTTTGGCTGTTTTCCACATATTGCTTATATTTTTAGTACTTTATTCTCTTTCTGCCCTATAACCCATTTTTCTATGAAACAAATCTGTTGAATTCTTAATTGGTTTTCTGACCCAAAGTTTCATCTAATTCTTCTATTAATAAATTTCAAATTTTTGAAATCTTGGGTGAAATCTTTGAACTTGCCTTATTTTCCCCCTTTTCCTTTTTTTGAGACAAACTCTCCTTTTATCACCCAAGCTAGTCTGGAACTCCTGGGCTCCTACATCAGCTTCCCAAGTAGCTGGGACTAAGGGTACCTGCTAAAGATCCTTGTATACAAATATCAGTATCTTTATCATCTGGAAATGTACTTCTTTCACCTATTTTTCCTCTTAATTTTGATATTATCCTAGATTTCAGCATAGCCAGTAGTTGTGTAGTAGAACACTAAACTATGTTCAGACAGATGTCTATGTAAATTTGCATGCATGCTCACATACCACAGAAGCTTCACATTATACTTATTCCATCCACTAAGAATTCACCCCACAAATATACCCAAGACAGAGACAGGGGTAACTGGTCTACCTAATCAAATCAGGCTAAAGTGACTCAAGGTTAGTGGCAATGTCTCAGCATCATGAGCCCATTCAGCATCCTCTCTGGATACTGTAGACTTTCTGCTCGGTGTTAGATTTTCAGGTGTGTTTGGCTCTGTTCTTGGTTGTATATCACTACCACTTTTCTGCCTATCTTTACCTAGCAACCCCACAATCTCCCCTCCTACTACAAAGCTTTTGCCTGGATTTTCTGTCTCCTAGCAGCAGCTCTCCCCTCAGGGGCCAAATTCCAGATTCCTTGCCTCATTTCTCATACCCAGAATTAGCAATGCCCCAAGAGAGGGGGGATGGGGAGGGCAAAGCAAAACAAATGCTATCAGTTGAAATCTCCATCTTTGACTTCCCCCTTCACCCAGATATATTCTTCTCCTTCTCAGTCCTTTTGTGTTTACACCTCTCCCATGTCTTAAACTGTTTGTTTTAGTTTGGTTTATCTAGCTTTTCTGCCTCAGGCTAGAAAATGGTCTGCTATAAACTATTGCAACAGAACAAGAAATGAAAATCCATATTGTTTCTTAAAATGTGTTGGGGGAAGACTTGCTATGGAAGATGCATCCTCTGGCAGGGATGCCTTTGAGTTATTTTATGCTTCAGTTAGACAAGAATCAGAGCATCAAGATATAACCAAGGCATTCATTAGCATGCTATAAAGGACAAACCACCATCCAATGTTTCCCACTTAAAAAAAAAAAGAACATTATCTTCTCTTATTTGACAAAGATATAATGAGAAACAAAACATTCAGGTGTTTTATGAAGATGAGTAAGATTCACATTATGAATACAAACAGTTCTGTGTTATCTGGTTTGTGTTTGTTTCTCTGATGGTTCAATAAATGGATCTTTCTCCACCAACTAATCTTTTGGAGTTTTTTATTGTTGTTGTTGCTGTTGTTTTTGTT